AGGGTCCTTTGGCAAACTGGGATCTGTGGGCGCATCTTCTGCACCCGGCATTCCAGCAGCATCGCCGGGATTCGCAGGCTCCGGCTCTGCCTTGGACTCCTCGCTCTTCGAGAAGAGCCCGGCCGCCTGGCTCGCGAGCATCTCGGCGGTGCTCGAGAACTTCGACAGCGACGCCGAGCCGTCAGGGAGCCAACTCCGAAAGGCGCTTGTGTCTTGCACCTCGTCAGGTTCCTTGCTGGCCGAGACTACCGAGACTACCGACTGAAAAAACCTGTACCCTCAGATTTCGACAAAGTCTAGAAAGACGTGGCATGAAAACGAATGTTAGACAAAGTCGAATTACCACAGCTTGTTTGGAGGCATCGACGGCTTCGTGTGGGGAGCCCGTAACATTCGTATCGAAGCTGGCGGCTTCGGTGCAGTTCCACTCCAGGGGAGTCCCGACGGACGCTTCACGCTCCAAAGATGCAGAGTCCCGGCCGTCTGGCGGGGCCGCGGGTTCGGAAGCCGCCGTCTCTGGCTCATCTTCCCTGTCGACGAAAACCAAGCGATCGGAGGCATCGTCGACATCGGAGCAATCCTATGGGATGCAGCTTGGAATAAAGAGATGAGGGGCGAGAACAGACGAGGAGGGAGGTCCTTCTTCACCTCTGCCTCCGGCATCTCGGGCTATCTCTCTTGCATCAAACTGCAAGACCTGTGCACATTTCTTTGGGGGGGAGATGACCAGTTTGCTTGGATACAGGCTGAGCTAGGCCTAGTGCAGGTCATGTGCCAGCTTGCAGGCTTCAAGAATGTCGAAATCTGGGGGCCTACAATAGTTCGACTAGGGTCTCCTTGAAGGGTTCCTTTTGAAGGGCTCTGCAACACTCCTAGGAAACCAGTCCACATCCGAATCTCTTGTGCAGGGAAACCAACGGCTCCCCTGTCCCCTGCCACTGCCAACGCTACAGGTAACCCACAATGATAGCAGACGCCGGTGCCAGTGTTGGCTGTTGAGCAGGATAACCACTGTCACGGTCGCAATCACGATATCACTATAAACATGACAGTAGTCAAATAAATGATGATGACATAAGCAACGACAAGAGTTATGGACGAAGACTGAAGTCATTACTTTGAGTCGCACTCTTAAAAAAAAAGAAGCACGCTTTCAGGTCTGGAGTCCTTTGAGACAACGGAACTCTCCGGGCCTGCGCCGCAAAGAGCAGGTAGGCGTGTCGTCCCTAAGCCTCGGAGGCAGTAATCTAGGGTTTAGGGTTTAGGGTTTAGGGTTTAGGCTTTAGGAGACCCACCGCCTCGGCCTAAACTCAATCGGGTTCAAGATCTAATTGGGTCTAAATGGTTAATTAAGGCTTTGGGTTGAAGATAGGCCCAGGAATTGTTTTGGGAATTATTTTTTCTTTTTTTGGGAATTCTTTTTTTTTAGGGTTTGGGGCTTAGTTCTGTATTTTACTAGGAAATATTCCATTTTCTTTTTTTTTTAAGAGGAAAACCTGCATTTTTTCTATTTTTCCAAATTTTCTATATTTTCGTAAGAAAAACCTGAATTTTCTGTATTTTCATAGGAAAATCTAGATTTTGTTTTAATTTCACAGACAAAACCTTAATTTTCTCTATATTTTAATAGGGAACCTTAATTTTCTCTTTTGTAAGAAATAACTATTATCTGGCTGTCGGCTA